TTGATAAATTCAATATGTTGTTGTGTATTTATGTTCTTGTGTGTTGTGAACTGATCTGTTCTTGTGTTTCAAAATGTCTTGGTGTCCAGGTCAGCTTGTGTGTGTACTGTGTTATCATGAACTGTTTTGTCATTCTTGTTCAATAGAGCCTAGGATCAAGACATGTCTTCTTGTAGTGTTTCATTAGGTTACTACACATGTATTTTTGCATCTTTTAAGTGCCCTCTACAGAACAATAAGAATCCATGATTTGTAAATGGCAGTAATATTTGTATTAAAAAATAAACAACAAAAGCTCAAAGGTTTAAAATTACATTTACTGCTGTCTAAGATGAACTCAACAAATGAAACATTAATGCTTATATTACAATGACATACTTGCAAAAGTTTTCATATTGTCTCTGAGATTCCGTAATACGACATGTCTTCAACTCCACATACTTATTGCTGTCTGTACTGCCTAGGTCTTCACAATCAACTTCTGCACCAAATACTTGATTTCAAAAACAAATTTTAAAATTTACTTCATTGTGCATGTTAAGTAAAGTTCACCTGTTTTGATAGCCTAAGTTTTATATATAAATATCTAAGGAGTTGGCAGAATTGTGTTTTGTGAGAGTGTCTGGTTGCATTTATTTGAATGAGTAACATGTTAATACATAGGCAGAACAAGAATCTATATAAAATTTTGTACCAGTACCTTGAACTAGAGTTAATGATTTTAGATTTGGAGAGAGATTAAGATAGGTGAAATAGGTATACTAGTAGATGAAATGTAGCCAGTTATTTTACTGGTGGCGATAAATGTTGCTGTTGTTAAAATGATTTGATAGTTTTCTTTGTTGTTTAAGAATATAAAGAACTTGACAATATATATACACACCCTAGGCCTATATATTTAGATATACTTAATTACTTAATGTATATAGATTGCTAAATAATTACATAAAGAATGATTGCCAAGTCGAGTGCAGGCCACACTTCCAAATTCAACATTTGTGTTGACTGGCACATTTGTAGCTGGAACTCCCAAATTTCTATCTGTAGATGAAATATATAAGGATATGACAGCTCAATCTAAAGGAAAAAAAAAAATATTTTTTTAAAAGTACAAAGGCATACACATCCTACTGTACATACATGGATTTAAGCTTTCTAATATTTTGCATGGGCTTATACTTCCTAGAGTTAAGAGTGGTAACGTTTTGTAAAGAAAGTAAAGTAAGCATCTATTTTTAGAATATTTTATATTTGTCACCTGATGTCATGTATTGCTCAAATTTAAAACCCCAGGCACACATTTCTTTCTGTCTTGGTGTCTCATTTTTTATTTCTTCAATTTTGGATTCTGTATGATATTCACACATGTAGTATGTTCCTCTAAAATTGATCACAGCCAAAAGAATGTCTTCTTTATTTTCATAAGGAATGCATGCTAGTTTTGTAAGCAGACCTCTCCAGCATACAAAGTCAGTATTCAATCTGAAAAGATTTTTTTCCTATTAAGAGGTAGCTTAGCATTCACAATATTTTAGGAAACAATTTTTATTTACAATTAAGTCTTGTTGTAACTTACTAAGTGTTGCTATTTGCTGGTTATCACATATCCAACCTGATAGTATATTTTATTTCCTCCTATATATATGTGATTTGATAATGCTACTTTGGGAAGTGGAAATTATCAATTTAAAAAAAAGCATATTAAATACTAATAAGGAATAAATTATTTGTAAAAAAAAAAAAATAGTTGGCATCTACCTTTCAAACTTATCTGTTTTTTGATCATTTGTTTTAGAAGGAAGATTTGTCACTGTTTGTTTGTTGGACATAATCCAGGTTAACAAATTATTTAGATAATTGTAAATGCTTTCATCTTTCTTAATCATTGATGAATAACCTAATCTGAGATCAAAGTGGCAGTTCTTCATGTTGGAAGGAGGAGTATAGATTCGCAATTGTCTTCTATCATTCTGGAACTGTCTTTTTTCATCAATACTGAAATTTCCAATTTCTTTTGGCTCCTTGAAAAAAGGGAAGGGTTTGTCATGATGTTGAGAAAACGTTTCTAGGATGAATGAATTTCCTTCTACTGGTAGATGTATAGTTTTAAGTTTTTTGGCATTGTCTTGATTGTGGTTGACACTCTGAAGATTGGACCGTTTCATGGTACTGCCCTAAAAAAATACAAGACAATTAGTGTTCTTGAATAAATAGACATTTAAATGTTGTTGTCTTTCTTTTAACATTTTCAACATAGAACAACAAAGGTTAAAATTCAGAGAGCTACAAGAACAAGCAGCTAAAAAAGAACCAAGTTTGTATACAGAATTTTTATGTTGGGAATCTCATATTAAGAATAATAAGTGCTCAAAGAATAGAAAGAAAAACAAAATAATACTATTTTAAAAAAAAAAAACAAAGCTTATACTACTGTAATTGTAACAATTAGATTGGATCAGTAATGTGATTAAGAAATATTTTTGCAAAATTGCACAAATTTGCAGATTGGGTGTGGGAGAAATAATGTGTACAAACTTTTTACCAGAAAAAGAGAGCGATACATTGAGTTGATATATGCTTCGTAAAAAGTACCATTTATCATTAAACTTAATTTTAACAATTGTAGTTGACCAGCAGCAACTGTCTCTGGCAATCTTAAGAGAAAAAAATCTTAACATTTCTTAGAATAATTTTATCATCATAACCATGGTCCATAATCATAAGGACCATGATATTGTACATGAAAGGGAATTTGTTTTTCATATGAATTGAAGCTTAGACTATTTATTCTTTACCATATTTGTTAAAAGGAGGTGTGGTGGCTGAGTGGGAAAGCACTTGGTTTTTGAACTGAGGGTCCTGGGTTCGAATCCTGGTGTGGACATATCCTTTTACTTTCGGGATCTTTAGAGACCCCTCTGAGTCCACCCAGCTCTAATGGGTACCAGACATTAGTTAGGGAAAAGTAAAGACGGTAGGTCATTGTGCTGGTCACATGACACCCTTTACAGTTAACCATAGGCCACAGAAACAGATGACCTTTACATCATCTGCCCCATAGATTATAAGGTCTGAAGGGGGAACTTTATTTACTTTTTTTTTTTTGTTATAACCAATCTAGTAGCTACCGTTAGCAATCATTGAACACTGGATTCCCAATATCTAGGATGTCAAAATACAAAGTAATGAAAATCTAGATCTAAATGCAAAGATGCATGGTGGCAAATAAAGCAAAAAGAACAGGCCATTCTAGCACAGTTTAGAGCTGTCATTGCCCAATTGGAGTGCACTTAGGGAAACTTAGAGAGAACTATGATACACAATATTGCTATTTCAGAAATGATGACAAGACATAGGCCATATTCAGACAGAATGTCATGTCTTGCACTTGCAGTATTTCACAAGACTACATAGACCAGGTTGTGATATGCATATTTCATCACATTTGACGTAAAGCTGTTGTCTTTTCACCATCTGCACTTGTGTTCAGCAATAACTATTCTATGTGCCATAAATATGTGTCCTGCAACCTTTGTGTTCAGCAATAACTATTCTGTGTGCCATAAATATGTGTCCTGCAACCTTTGTAACAGTTCTACATCTGTTTCTTTTGTGGAAGTGTTTGATAAGTATTAGAATCTTTGTAGAGAGCATTCAGGTCTTAAGAGACATATTAAAGGATTGTGAAAACTACTGCTTTTTAAACATATATTTTTATTGGTAGATGGAGATTTGAGACCTATTCCACCATGTAGATGGAGATTTGAGACCTATTCCACCATATTTTCATATGGAGGCAAACAAAAGCGGTTTGACCTTAGCCAGATGGTCCTCTATTTCTCTAGACAGTAGATACTGAGATGCTCTGGACCCTGCTGGAGAAGCTTATAGCACTCCCACAAACCGGATTGCTGGCTCAAGGGGGGAACTTGCTTCCTCTTAAATAGAAAGAACTTTTCCTTGTATACTAAAACAAAATGGACTAACTTTAATGAATATATTCAGAAAAATGTGTTAAAATGTTAAATGTCTAAGTTTCTCTTCTTTTTCAAGATTTGTGGGCCAAATTCTATTTGGAGACTTCTGTTTTTCTGAGGCTGATAGCCTAGTCATACCAAATGAGGCAAGTTTAAGCTTTTGCTTGATGTGGGAAAGGCACAATGTTGTTTTTTTAACATGTTTCAGATGTTCCTTCAAAGTTGAAGATAATCTACTTCCTAGTGCTACATTAATCTCCCGCAGGATGATGGGAGATGGCAGCAGGCAGGGTATCAAATTCAATTCAGGACCTTCGAGTTGACCGAACATGAGTACACATACCACACAACCAGGCAGCCATGATCTGCATTTAAAGAATCTCTATCAATTGTCAATAGATCTCATGACCAGCAGCTTATTGATCTGCTTTTAAAGAATCTCTGTCAATTGTCAATAGATCTCACTAGCACTTAACCCTAGTCAAGAGATTAAAATTACTTCTCTATTCTCTACATAAGATCTACATCACTGTAAAATAGTTAAAGATATTAGATCTGGCATGTCAGTTATTCTATCTATTCTTGCATGTCAGTTATTCTATCTATTGCTATACAGACTACAGTGCAGCAAATCAGTGAATTTTATAGACTCTAAGCCTATGTCATGTATATCATAATAATCATATTATATTATATGTAAATTAATAAAAGAACCTAGATCTAGATAGTAGATATAGCCTTTACTAAAGCAAAGGCTAAAACAGTAAAATCAAAAGCGGATATTTAAGTTTTAACATATTAATATTACTAAATATATAATATAGTCATTATAGTCTATTTAATGTCTATTAGTATTACCAACAAAAGCCAACAAATCTAGACTAGACCCTATAGTAGGCTATAGAGATCATCAATCATTAATTAATCATAGATGTAGACTCTCTCTCGATCTAGATCATCTACTAGAATCTAGAGTTCTGAACTGAGTTAGACTAGTGACTTATTTATTTTGACTAGAGGTCTCTAGATCTAGTTAGTCTAGTAAACAGTAAGTGTACAGACTACAGTAAGTAGTAAGCTAAGAGATTTGACCCCCGAGACACGACGAGAGGTATGATAATAATATAATATTGTCATATAGAATCTAACTATCTATCTATATAACTTTGTTACTTTAGTTTATTAACTATCTTAGTATCTACTATAATCTAGACCTATCAAGTCCTAGACTGAGTACTAAGACTTAGACTCTAGGGCCTAGCCGGTAATCATGAATGTGAGCGTCAAAAATTATTTTTCGCGACATTCCTTTTGTCTCTCCTGGCCAAAAACAAATCCAGATTTGTTTATCAAAAATAATTTTGACATCATTAAGTGCTGCCAACTAAAAATGAGAAACACCCATTATCTACAGATGAATTAATGTTAGACAAAATAATTTAGACCACAATAAAATAGTTCTTTTTTTTTTAAAGATTTATTGCAATCATTTGTGTGTGTGTGCTAAATAGATGTTACTTTTCATTGTCACTGAATTATAAATTATTACAATTTCTGAGTAAATACTTCTTTTGTGAATTACCTACGTCTGTATTTTATAGGACAAGATCTGGATTGAGATTTTTTAAAAATAGCTTTTCTGAATTGCTAGACCAGATTCCATATTATTTTAAATGGTTTTTATTTTCATAAAGAACATTTTTCATGCTTATAGCATGCTCAGAGCACTATGGTCCAATCTGTTTTCAGGATCACTGGGGGGGGGGGGGGGGGGTATCCAGGGAAAATGTTTTCAGTAATGCTTTTAGTTGCTCATTAAGCACAACTCTGATTGAGTCCGATGTTGAGAACCTCGAGCCTCTTTATATGTAGCTATCACAAGCCCAAGCGTTTTGTCTCTCACGCTTGTCATATATAGCGATTTCTATTTATTTATTTCTCTTCCTGTACCGGTATTTTGACAGTACGGTAAACGATGTTAAAAATGGTAATTAATTTATTTTTTAAAAAAAAGCTTATTATTATACGATATTTTTCAGAGCCTGCCTTAGGTCACTCCAACCTATGCGACCGCAGTGAGCTACGCAATGTCATAGAACCCACTTTAATCCTAGATGTAAATTATTAAAACGAAACCATTTTATAACTTATAACAGATTTTCCGTGGTCTTCTGGTTAACAAGAAGCTCCTGGAAGGTGACTTCTCACAATTTATGGAAAAAAGATACTTTCGTGTGTAGGCCTACTGTAATAGTCCTGCCTTGTATTTGTTGATGGCTGTCGGACTTCGACACTCTGGAGGCCTCAGACAGGACAGGGGTAAAGAGCCCCATGTCCAGGCTTGGTGGTTGGATAAAAGCCTTTTTAACCATCAACGGGATAATGGCGCCTATGGTGCCGACGCCCTACTGGACTTCACTGAAGGAGCCATTGGCCGTTTGACTACATTACATAATGTACTTTATGAAAGATTTTGCCTTAAAGTTTAATCAACGTAACTAATGATTAAGACATTTGTTCATGAACAATCAACAAACAACATAATAATATTTCTGCTAAACACTCTGAAGGTAAAGATTATGGCCGCCGCAAGAAGAGCGCAAAAGGTCGATTGTTGATGCGAATAATGTGTGCTTGGACTCCTTGGTGCTTTCCCTTCAAGTTTACACCATTGTATTTGTATCCCTCGACACGAAAATCGTCGATGTCCTGACCAACGTTCAACAGCGCAGCAAGAAGCGCCATGACAAACCCTTTCCTGTTAAGTTGCCAACATTAGGATACGTCCAAAAAACTCAATATAAGGGACATCAGCTCTTTGTGGCTAACATCAGGTGTGTAGTCAAGAATGACGGGAAAATATTTTGCAAGTTTGATTTTATCAATAATGTTCCCTTTTACTTCTGATGCCATAATGTTCATATGCTCGTTTTGAATCCTATGCCCGATGTAATGGCCGTGCGCCTCGGCGTTCTTAATTCTTCGAAGATGTACCTGCATAGTTGGGTCGACTTCGGCTATCACCGTTGTTCGTTTGTTTCTCTGTTCTCCCATGATATGCGGTGTTGTTTTCTTAAAGGTACTGTACAATCGCTAGAATTTTTGTTAAGATTTCTCGCTACAGCAGTTTTACTGTTCTAATTTTTCTTGCATCACGTTATTCGTTGTGCTACCATTTGACATTCTCAGAGCTAAATCCAACCAGAAAGTCACACAGTTAACGGGATGTACAGAAACCTCGTGCTGCTGACGTTTATGTCATGTTAAGAGCTTACATAGAAATAGTATTTGGTATTATAAAGATGCCTGGAAAGATTTCCAAAGATATTGAGTATATATGAGAACTGTTCTTGTTTTCAAAGCAGACAGTGTCAAGGGAATTTCCAATCGCGGGGCCTGGGGAGGTTTTCCCACTTGCCACCCCCTAAGGCCGCTACTGGGCATAGGCGTAGCCAGGGGGGGGGGGTTGGGTTCAATAATGTTCCCTTTTTCTTCTGATTACATCAGGTCCATAAGCTGTTTCGAAACTGTCATATCTTTGACATATGCTGATAACGCGAATGTTTATTTGTATAGCATTAGGGCCTCTTCTGGCCTTGTTAGAATGTTCTTTGTGCAAACATTAAATAACTTTATCCTGATCAATTTTGTTGTTGCGTAGTGCCACTATGTTCACTGAGTAATTTGACCACAACACATATATTTAGAAGCAAGCATCGTCTCAACAGACAAAATGTTCCATAATCATAATAAAATAGTGCATAATAACTTGGCAACTCCAGCCATGGAAATACATCACTTAGAACCCATTTATATTACATCTCGTATCACTTAGACAATACATACATACATCTCATTACTCTCGGGAGTCCAAAAGGTAACTGAGGTTTTCACCCCGTGGTCAAATACAGACCAATTATTTCTTCGTAAATAAGGCACGAGATAGTCAAATGACTATTAACTCACACAATGTCACATTGAATCTCAAACAAGTATGTGACAGAAACCTATGCCAGATGTTATGTTCTGGTGTCTGGGCTGTAAATTGTTTGATAGTTAATTTCGAGCCTTTCCTGTTTCGTGCAATCTTTAAGCGCGCGAGAGAGTTGTCATGTTTTTTACACCTTCAAATCAAGTAACTTCTGATACGAAGCAACTTAGCATATAGCGATTTCCCTGAAATAAAGTTTATGAGGATAAGCTATATAATATATAATTGTAATAAACTGGAATAAGCTAATCTGTAGTTCATGTCCGATCATGTACGCTTTATTATGGGCTTGCAATTCAAAATTCTGTAGCACGTAGTCGTGACGATTTTTTTTCCATTTGCACATAATTATAGCTATCATTATATTTAGCAAAGGCCTAGAATATGATAAAATGTTATTTTCTTTTTGTCTTGGAGGAAAAATTCTAGTCAACTGTCAATTTGAGAAGATCTTTGAGTTGGATGGCTGCCTGGTCGTGCAGTTTGCGCGCTGGATTGTCGTTCAGATTTATCGATGGTCAAGGGTTCAAACCCTGCACGCTCCCATCCCCCGTCGTCCTGCGAGAGGTTTGGACTAGGAAGTAATTATCTTCAACTTTGAAGGAACATCCGAAACATGTCAAACATTTTACGAACAAACAAAACAACATGTTTGGTGCATTTTAAACTAGTTAGGCCTCACTAGAAGTGAAACCAGACAAACTGCTTTATGTGTAATCAGTGCCTGCTTCTCGTGTGCTTCTGATATGTGTTCTAATTGTAATCAATTATTCATCTGTTCTTGAACCAGTTTCCGTGTTGTACGTTGCAGTCTGTCCATCTTAGCATAAATGGCCGCTCAAAAGCACGCCAGCAGTCGCATTAATTAGATAATCAAAAACCAAACTGACCATGGTTAGGAACACTTCAGGGATGGCATCTTGAGGAAGGCGAGACTATTGGCAGACAAACTAGCTAATGAATTAGTGCTGCCGATAATTTTAGTCGACAGACATACCAAGCAAAAAACATTTGTTTGGATTTTGGGATTATTAAAGAACACTGCTTTACAGTCCGTATCTGGATTCGTTAGTTTCTTCATTAACGTCTCTCTTTTCAAGCAATACTAATGCTCAGTTCAACCTGTTTTGTTTACATCCTAAAACGAAGCAAGAGCATGAAACAAGTAGACCTATTTATCTACTTATCTTATATCATACAGACATTACTTCAAAAAAGAAGATGAATACGTCCTACGCGTCGTGCATTTACAGTGAAATTAATATCGTATAGGTAGGGGGGGGGGGCGAGGGGACACCAGTTCTTTTCTTTAATATGCTCGGGGGAAAAAATGAAGCTACGACTTTGAGCCATAGGTGGTAACTTGCATCCCCCCTGCAAAAAATCCTGCGGGCGCCCATGAACACTCGAAATATCTTGTCTATGAAATATACAATGAAATCTACATGTTCTTAGCAGCTTGTTCCCCAGATACTTAACTACTATTAAAGACGAGCACATCAATTTCAACACATAAAACTAGTCAATTACTTCATACAGACTTTTATAATTGCTTAAATTCTCACGTGACTTCTACTGTGACCTAATCACTTCTCTTTACATCGCTACTTTTCTAAAATCTTCTAACTCTGAGGTCGACCGACTACTAGCCTACTTAGTTACTAGACTTCTAACAACTCTCAGGTCGACCGACTACTAGATTTCTTAGTTACTAGACTTCTAACAACTCTCAGGTCGACCGACTACTAGCCTACTTAGTTACTAGACTTCTAACAACTCTCAGGTCGACCGACTACTAGTTTTCTTAGTTACTAGACTTCTAACAACTCTCAGGTCGACCGACTACTAGCCTACTTAGTTACTAGACTTCTAACAACTCTCAGGTCGACCGACTGCTAGCCTACTTAGTTACTAGACTCCTAACAACTCTCAGATCGACCGACTGCTAGCCTACTTAGTTACTAGCCTACTTAGTTACTAGACTTCTAACAACTCTCAGGTCGACCGACTACTAGCCTACTTAGTTACTAGACTTGGATTTCATTCTACGTTTTTGTTTTACACGGCTACTATAGCTTGACTTTCTTCTTAAGTGGCTTATAGCCTGGCCGATCCTTTTATCCGTGGTTCAGTAGAAGCGGGTCACAATGTCATCCTTTCACGCTCTATATTGGCCAAAATCACCTAAATATTAGAAACTGCCACATGATTACTATTTTACCAGTGACTCAAATACAACAGAACAAA